CTCGTGAAACACTTTTGGTTCACTCATACTTTTCCCCGTTGGTGAATTTTGTTCAAAATCATGTCTAATCACTTTTTGAGTCATTTTTACATTGTAAACCTTTTTGTAAGTCTTAATTGTGACATTTTTATGCTTAAAACATGATTCACTATGATCAAAACAATTTCAAAAATGCAAACAAAAAAGACTAGCCAGAGTGCACTGGAAGGGTGCCCATCTCGACCCTCAACTTTAAGTGCCTGATATTTTGCCATGTCCCAAAGGCTCAGCAAGGCTGTGGCTAGCCTGCTGTCTTGCCCTTTTTCAAGGGGCCTTTTGGTGCCCCTGGGCCTTTTGGCTCTTTCCATACCCTTTCGCAACCCTTTTTCAAAGGTTTTCTTTACAAGGGTCGCTTTGGCAACCCTTTCTCAAAGGTTTGAAGACATGGCTTGCTGAAAGCCAAAAAGGCTGCAAAAGTTGTTGTTTGGTTTCGCTGGTGCCAGCATTAGAAACTTTTACATATCCCTTTTACATATTCTAAACACAAAACACAGTTATACCCTGAAAAGCCCCTGGAATGCATAATATGTGTTTTGTCGGTCTGGGTCAAACCCTAATAAAAGCCCGGGCCCTGAGGGCTCAAAGTTGGGGCTTGGAGGGGTCAAGTTCGCCAAAAATCTTGCATCAAGGCGTCCAAATGCTGCGTCCTGAGGTGTCAAATTTAATTAGGGTTTGGAGGGGTCAAGTACACCAAAAATCTTGCGTCAACCTTTCCAAATTCCGGGTCCTGAGGGCTCAAAGTTGGGGCTTGGAGGGGTCAAGTTCACCCAAAAATCTTGCGTCAAGGCGTCCAAATTCCGGGCCTGAGGGGGTCAAATTTAGGGTTTGGAGGGTCAAGTTCACCAAAAATCTTGCGTCAACACGTCCAGATTCCGGGTCCTGAGGGATCAAATGTGGGACTTGGAGGGGTCAAGTTCATCAAAATCTTGCGTCAAGGCGCCCAAATTCCGGGCTCTGAGGGTCAAATTTGGTGTTTGGAGGGGTCAAGTTAGCAAAAAAATCTTGCGTCAACGCGTCCAAATTCCGGGTCCTGAGGGGTCAAATTTAGGACTTGGAGTGCCCAAGTTCACCAAAAATTTTGCGTCAAGGTGTCCCAATTCCAGGTCCTGAGGGGTCAAAATTGGGACTTGGAGGAATCAAGTTCGCAAAAGTCTTGCACCAACGCCCAAATTCCGGGTAGCAATACTTCAAGTTTTGGGGGGATCAAGTTTGTCCTTGGAACTTGCATGGACTTGGAGGGTTAACCGTCGCCAACCTCTGCCGACCTCTCACCAACCTCTACCGACCTCTACCGACCTCGACGAGAGGTCGGTAGAGGTCGGCAAAGGTCGGCAAGAGGTTGGCAGAGGTTGACCCTCCAAGTCCATGCAAGTTCCATGGCGCCGTGCCACTGGGGAGCGCGAAACATGCTGGTGTAAACGCGGCGTGTCGCTGGTGAGCGGGATGATTTGTGGTATCGTGTGATACGTTTGCTTCTAGCGTGTGGGCAGACCGTGTGGCGACGCGACGTGCGTGATGTCGCAGTGCCATTGGGATTTGCGCGGCCTTGCTGGAAAGTGCGTTTGCGCGGCGCCAAGCCACTAAGAAACGCGAAACAGGCTGGTGTAAACGCGGCGTGCCGCTGGTGAGCTGGATGATTGGTGGTCTCAAGAGTGTCCCAAAAGAGTGCCCCGCAAGAGCTTCCTACAAGAGTGACCCAGAAGAGTGTCCTATGTCCCACAAGAGTGTCCCACAAGAGTGTCTCACAAGAGTGTCCTACAAGAGTGTCTCACAAGAGTGTCCCGCAAGAGTGTCCTACAAGAGTGTCTCACAAGAGTGTCCCACAAGAGTGTCCCAGATAGAGTGTCCTAGAAGAGTGTCTTAGAAGAGTGTCCCAGATAGAGTGTCCCACAAGAGTGTCCCGTATGAGTGTCCCACAAGAGTGTCCCGCCAGAGCTTCCTACAAGACTGACCCCCAAGAGTGTCCTACGAGAGTGTCCCACAAGAGTGTCCTATAAGAGTGCCCCACAAGAGTGTCCTACAAGAGTGTCCTACAAGAGTGTCCCACAAGAGTGTCCTACAAGAGTGTCCCACAAGAGTGTCCCACAAGAGCGTCCCACAAGAGCGTCCCATAAGAGTGACCCACAAGAGTGTCCTATAAGAGTGTCCCACAAGAGTTTCCTACACGAGTGTCCCACAAGAGTGTCCTACAAGAGTGTCCCCCAAGAGTGTCCTACTAGAGTCTCCCACAAGAGTGTCCCACAAGAGTGTCCCAGAAGAGTGTCCCACAAGAGTGTCCCACAAGAGTGTCCCACAAGAGTGTGCCAGAAGAGTGACCCACAAGAGCGTCCTATAAGAGTGTCCCACAAGAGTTTCCTACACGAGTGGCCCACCAGAGTGCCCTAAAGAGTGCCCCGCCAGAGTTTCCTACAAGAGTGACCCACAAGAGTGTCCTACAAGAGTAGAGTGTCCCAGAAGAGTGTCCTATAAGAGTGTCCCACAAGAGTTTCCTAGAAGAGTGTCCCACAAGAGTGTCCCACAAGAGCGTCCTACAAGAGTGTCCTGTAAGAGTGACCCACAAGAGTGTCCTACAAGAGTGTCCTACAAGAGTGTCTCGCAAGAGTGACCCACAAGAGTGTCCGACAAGAGTGTCCCATAAGAGTGACCCACAAGAGTGTCCTACAAGAGTGTCCTACAAGAGTGTCCCGTAAGAGTGTCCCACAAGAGTGTCCTACAAGAGTGTCCCACAAGAGTGTCCTACAAGAGTCTCACGTAAGAGTGTCCCACAGGAGTGTCCCATAAGAGTCTCCCACAAGAGTTTCCTACACGACTAACCCACAAGAGTGTCCCACAAGAGTGTCCTATAAGAGTGTCCCACGAAAGTGTCTTACAAGGGTGTCCCAGAAGAGTTTCCTACAGGAGCGTCCCACAAGAGTGTCCCACAAGAGTGTCCCAGAAGAGTGTCCTACAAGAGTGTCCCACAAGAGTGTCCCGTAAAAGTGTCCCACAAGAGTTTCCTACAAGAGTGACCCACAAGAGCGTCCTACAAGAGTGTCATTTGGACATATGTAGCTTTTGGAACGTGTTTGCATTCGGGTTCGTGGGCTTCATCTTTCTGATGTATTTTGAAGAAAGATGCGGACCATAAAAACCGGCGCCGACATTCATCTGGGGGGTCACTCGTCAAGAACCAACATAAAGCAGCAAAGCTTACAAGGCCCAAATTTCACAGTCAATGGTTACAAGCCAGAGAGGGCCCGTCTATTTTCAAGCAGTTCTTGATCACTATACACTGCGCCCACGTGGAAATACGGATACCTTCCTTTCTGGCCGACAACTTGTTCAACGCCATTTTGTTCAACACATACTTTCCAAGACGTTTGGCCGTGTGCAATTTCTTTCACTACATCTACGTACCCCCTCATTTTGTGTACGGTTTCATTTGTGACAGGGCGGTCGCTTCCTTCAAAGGGCTGCCCATGGGGAGCCGCTACATGGAGAGCGTGATGGATGTGATCCGTGATCCCCATGACCGTTGTGGCGGGCGCGAAAGATGCGTTTGATAAACGCACATTCTACTCCACGCATATGGCTCCCAGAAACGCTTGGCATACGCTGTGGCCCGGAGTTCCATACCTTGCCGCCCAGGGACATGCCTGAAACGGACGGCGACGGAGAACACAATTGCCGATGGAGGAAGGAAGTTGATGGACGTGCGTCATCTTGGCACCACCTTGAAGCGAGGACGGTGGTCCATCAAATTCAACGCTGACTTATTCATCAAGGGCAGGAGCGGGTTTGGAAAGAAGAGTGAGTGAGCCTTGAGCTGGCTGGCGAGGCGCTGTGTGCGCTTCCTTACTTGGTTGTTCAGGTCTCCAGAATGCCCGTTCGTTTCGCTCACTGAAGACCAGGTGTGATATTAAAACCGAAGCCGTTCGGAGAAGTCTTGGAAGGCTTGGCATGACATGAAGTCTGGATCTGAACGCCGTCGAACTAAATGCTTTTTCGAACTGGCCCTTGGAACGTCGGCTGCGGTCCTGTGCACAGTTGCATGAAATCACGAATTTAAACAAACCACCAACCAGAAAAACATAAACATCGACTGTTGACAAGTGCACCGGATTGTGATGATGTTCAGCACCTGTTCCATGAGAAATCGAGCAGTTTTTTCCCCAACCCTTGGAGCACTCCGGTGCCTTGCGCTGTAGTGTAAACACATCCTTGATCTTGCAGTCTCTGATTGCCGCGTGTCACATGGTCAGCGTGCCACGCTGAATTAAGAACACGCCAGACTTTGCTTGACCGTGATAACCACACCGACAAATTGATTTCGCCAGCCGTCGGGGTTAGGCTTTCGCTTTCAGGTCCGGAAGGCCTCGCTTTGTTTGCTGCTGGCGCGCGCCGTTGCTGTAATAAACATTGAGCGTCGTCCCAGCCAACGCCAAAAATCGCCCAAGATGACGCCACTATAAGTCCCAAACTATCCCAAGTGCAACCCATCATCCCCCCCCACCCCCATTTTGCAAGTTTTTTTGTAATTCGTGTTTTCTTTGCGCTACCCGCGCCCACTTCCTGCAAAACAACACACGGTCAACCCCTTGCTCGGCTCTCAATCTAATTCGCGTTTTCGCGCACTTTACCTCCCCCCAGTTCGCTTCAACAACTCCCTGCGATTTGGCTCTTGCATGGTGGTCGCGCAACCCAAAAGCAAAGGGGACGTCGGGCGTGATGTCGGGTTGATCTGTTGAGCTGATGCATGCAGCATCAAGAGTAACTGCTTGGTCGGGGTGGATATGGCGTGTAAGATGTGAAAGGGAGCATAGGATTTGCTCCAGCGCGAGGCCATTGAAATTCAATAGGTATCATTGTTTTTCTCCTTTATATGCATGGTTTTGAGTTTTACTTAATTTTTCCATCATTTACCCGCGTTCGTTTCCGTACATTTTGCCATCAGCTGTGGTGCGCGCAAGCCACGGCACTAGGCCTTCTTCACTCGTGTGGTGGGCTGCGAAGTGCCCGACGCGCAGAGGCGAACTGGTGGCTTCGGCGCTGGGGGCCTAGAGATGACCAGGGCCTCAGCGTTTTCGATATTTTTGCGTGATGAATATGATGAATGAATTTGACATCCAGGGCAAACTGTGGAACCCTATATGAACCTATATGATTACCACCTAACCACCGGTACAGCGCGCGGCCTTGCCTGCGTTCGATACCAGCCAAGAGCCCCCAACCCACGCCAGTTTGCAATAGTTTTTCCCTTGTCCTTATCTAGCCTCGTCGTGCCACGTCCTCATTGCCTCCTTTCTCAGCCGCGTCAAGTGCACCTGCATGTACCTGCTCTCGCGTTGGACTTGGTGGGAAGCACCGACTGACATTCAATACGGAAGAACTTCAGTGCTCATGTGCGCCTGAATGAAAGGCGCAACTTTCCCTCCACCGAACACCACCTCTCCAGGAAGCCCTTCTCTGCAGCAAGCCAGGCAGTATGTCAGAGCTGCTGAAAATACAAAAAATCTGCACGCGGTTTGCAAAGCATTGCGCCTCTTCAACTCCAAAGCTCACGACCCATGCAAAAATTTGATGAAATTGACGCGACCAGGAAAAACTGCTCCAACCCCTTGCGCTTGCCAGAAAAATTCTGCTTCAGACAACGAAGGCAAAGGTTTCCACGCGCCGACCACGAAAAGCGACACCAAACCCCAAAACGACCGCGGCGACAACTTTTGGAGTGAAGGTCCTGGTAAAACAAAAACGATCGAAAAGACTAGCGCCAACCCTTTAAATCACAAAAGGTAGCTTCAGCTACCGAGTTCAAATACTACAGGGCAGGATCCTGCCACGCCATGATTTTAGGCTCGCTAAAGGCGATTTTGTGTGATAGGGGGGGGCGCCGTATTAGATCAACTCCATCCTGGGACGGGTGAATCTTCCTTGAATTGTACTGGTACCGTGACTTCGTGTGATTGGATTCGTATCGAGCTTCTCCTCCCTCCTCGTCATGTGGCTACTGATGCTGCTGCTTCGGTGTGATTGGATTCGTATGGAGCTTCGCCTCCGGCCCCGTTATTTTGTTGCTTCTTTTCTACTCTACTGCTGACTGCTGACTGCTGATGCAGCTTTGCTGTGATTTGATTCGCATTGAGCTTCTCAGCTGGCGCTGCTACTGGTGCGCTGCTACTGGTGTGCTGCTGCTGCTGCTGCTGCTGCTCTTCAAATACCACGGCATCTCTCTCTCTCTTCTCTCTTCTTTTTCTTTGTTTTCTCTCTCTCTCTCTCTCTTCTCTCTTCCTCTTCTTCTTCTTCTTCTTTGTTTTCTCTCTCTCCCTCTTCTCTCTTCTCTCTCTCTCTCTCTTCTTCTTCTTCTTCTTCTTCTTCTTCTTCGTCTTCTTCTTCTTCTTCTTATTCTTCTTTTTCTTCTTCTTCTTCTTCTTCTTCCTTTTTCTTCTTCTTCTCCTTCTCCTTCTCTGTTTTCTCTCTCTCTCTCGCGCCTCTGAGCCTCTCTTCCTTTTTTCCGCTCACTTCCAACGCACTCTGCGCTAGGTTCTCCTCCAGGCCAAACTTCTCAACACCAGGCGTGCCAACAAGAGGCTAGTGGCTTAAGCAGCTGCATAGTTCTGTTTCCAGCAGGGACTCTGACAGCAGCAAGCTCATGGGACAAGGCTGCGGCCACAATCACATTAGGCAAACAAGCCTGATGTCTGCCATGGGGCACACGAGCTCAGAATCTCGCTTGATGAGAGCCCGGCCCTGGCCTCCGGTTGGCCAGGCCACCCGGAATCCGTTTCAAGCATGCCTTGCTGGGCATGGTGGTTGGTTGGTGACAACTGGTTGGTAGGTCTCTGCCCTGTTGAAATGGTTATTTTTGAGTGCCTGTTTTTCTAAAAAACATGGTCCTCAACCAATTGTCATCAATCAACTGTCACGCCAACCAATTGCCACCCATCAATTGTCGTCAACCAGTTGTCATCAACCAACTGCCACCCGCCAATTGTCACCAACAAACTGCCACCAACCAATTGCCACCAACCATTTGCCACCAACCCATTGCCACCAGGAAATTGCAACCAACCAATTGCCACCCACAAACTTCCACCCACAAACTGCCACCAACCAACTGCCACCAACCAATTGTCACCAACCAACCACCAATTGTCCGCTCGTGTGTCTGGTGAAGTTGTGAACATGTGGGGTTATCCAGTCCTATAATTTGCGGGTGCGATTGCACGCAAGGGGCCAGAAAAACTCGCCAGTTTTCGCCATTGGAGCGCTGCTGCAGTGTGCCGCCAGCCATCATGGCTGAGACATGTGTATTTGCGCGGAAGGTCCGGGGGGTAGGCCACCAACCAGCCTACTGGTTGAGCACGTGGAAAGGTCAAGCCAAAACCAAGGAGCAGATGATCAACCACGACGCGCGGCGCAAGGTCCACGTCACCTACCATGCGAGTTTGGCTCAAGACTCAAGTCGTCGCAAAAGCCCAAACCAAGAAAACGGCAAGGGTTTGTCGGCTTGCCCTATGACTGGTAGAAGCTGTGGCTTGGTGTAAACTGTAACTGTTGTTGATGAAACGTGGTATTGATTGTAAAAACATGCAAAAACTGTGGTCGGTGTAAACCGTGGTTTGGTGTGGAAGCCACGGCTTGGTGTAAACGGTGGTTGGCGTAAACCGTGGCTCATGTAAATGTTGGTCGGTGTAAATGATGGTTTGTGTAAAGGGTGTTTTGGGCACATGCTTTCCGAAAAATGTTTTTGCACCGTCTGCTGCGTTTAGATTTGTTTGTCTCCAGCCATGTACTCATCAAAGGTGTGTGCTTTCGGGTTCGTGGGTTCTACCAACTTATTTGTGATTTAATATTGGGTCTTAAATAGTAAAAAGAGAAGCCACCCTAAACAATCAGGGAGTCTGAATAGAATCCCCACCACCAAAAGCAGTACTACTAGTAGTAGCAGCAGTAGTAGTAGGAGTAGGAGTAGCAGTAGCAGTAGCAGCAGTCAGAAGAGTTAAGCAAGGATCTTAAAGGGCAGCAATAGCAGAGCAAAATAAAGTAATTGTATTTTTTTCCTAGGGCTTTAAGTTTGCTGATTATTCACACCCCTTAACAATTCGTATTATTCACTTACCCGGGCTTGTGTACTACCCCCTTGAAAAATTGGTTTTGTGCCAATGAAACCGATTAGTGTTTATAAGTGTTTTTCAAAGGTTTTCAGGTCAGAGTTCCGTGAATCAAGCAAACCTTAGAAGAGTTAAGCAAAGATCTTAACAGGCAGGAATAGCAGAGCACTATATAGGAATTGTGTATAGATATTTGTCCTAGGGCTCCAAGTTTACTTATTAATCTTACCCCATAAAAATCGTATCATTCACCTACTCGGGGCTTGTGTACTACCCCCTTAAAAACTGTTTGGGGCAGTGAAATCGATTAGTTAAAAGTTTTTTAAAACGGTTTTCAGGTTGGAGTTCCGTGAGTCAAGCAAACCCCAGTAGCAGCAGTAGTAGTAGTAGCAGCAGCAGCAGTGGGTAGTCGTTCTAGTTGAGCAAGGGCTTTAATATTCCCTCCCACTATATATATATATTGATTTGGGCTCGACATTAGTGCGGAGCGTCGTGAAAAGTAAGGACTGTGAGTGTATAACATAAAATAATATACATAGATGCTTTGCAACATGCCAACACAAGGGATGTAACATACAAAAACTTGGCACCGTATAGACGAAAGAATGACAGCGACAATGTCAATATTCATCAACAAATTCCCAGAAAAATGGGCCTCACCGAGCACGCAGTTCCCTAAAAAGAAGTCACACGATTACCCGCTTAATCGACTCAGTTCTTTCAGGGACGTTTTGAGGTCCAAACACGCAGGGGTCTCAGGGGTACCTACATTTGGCAAGCTCCAAGCAAACCGTTCGCGCGCACAAAGTAGGTTGTCCTGCCTGTATTGCGGTCCCCTCCAGTGTTGAATTAGGTTCAACACGTGCTCGAAGAAGACAGGTCCAAGTTGGTTGGCACGGTCAAAGGAGACGGCTTGCTCATTTGGTACCATGTTGAAATCAGCATTCGTAACAGCGGACACGAGAGGGAGAGAGAGAGAGAGAGAGAAAGGTAAAGGGAGATAGTGGTTCAAGCTTGGGCCCGCCTCCAACCAGGAATTGATGGTGTTGTTGAGATCCTCAAGACCAAGTATGATTGCTTGAAGCGGGAAGCCAATTCTTTGAGTTGTTGAACCGACGGATTTACAAGGTTGGAGAGTGGTTGAGTTAAGTTTCGACGGGTTCATGGGATGCAGTCGGGGCGGCACACATTTCATTGCAGAATTGTGTGTTGGTTTGCAACAGACCTTTGCTTGGTCCCAGGGGTGAGCGCTATCGTGTGGTGGGCGATCGCGGCGGCCCTGCGGGCATGTGGCGCTTGGATGGTGGGAAGCCAGAAACCCAAACCTCGATGATTGAATGATGATGGATGGCCTCAAAAAAATTACAGTAGCAGAGCGCAGACAGTTCGTTCACACACACATATCATATCAATATTACACATCAAAAAAAGACTAAGGACTATCCCCAAGACACATGTCAAGGAAGGCGGCTGGAAATGGGCAAACTCCTCAGAAAGAAGATCCTGAAGTTGGTGAAACCTTCTCCACTTAGGTTTTAGAGGAGCCGGAACCAGAGGCAAAACTGGCAAAGCCACCGCCTGTGGCCACAGCTCCGGTGCAGACCTTCATGCCGAAGGATATTTGTGGCGCCGTTTTCGTTGGACGTTCAGTGCGTTCAGCCACTATTTTGCATGATTCCATCATTCATTGTTTCCCAACCCTGCTTCTTGAAGCAAGAAGACTTACTGGAATCTACTGGATTCAATAAGCGGAAACTCTTGATTTGGTGATTGGACACCTTGTGGCCTTGACAGCTGCTAGAACTAGATTTTGCTGCCGAACCTCTGATGCATGCATGGCCACCAGTCTTTGGGGTTGCAAGCCCAATCCCAGCGGCAAACACCGCGGTTATTGCGGAGTCAAGGTTGTGCAACGCCCATGTTGTTTTACCATGTGTTACCCGGATGGGTCCTCTCGGATAACACGCGCAGACTTCCTTGATGGCCTGCGCGTTAAGTGCACCATCATTCCGTTATTCCGTTTGTTTGCTTTTTTTGTGCCCCATGACAGATCTGATTGTATCGCGTGAAGGTGTGCAGTAGGTCAGTAGGCAAAGTCACCTTTTCAGCAGCCCTTTTCCTTAATGTGCAGCGAAGGGTTCACTTGACTCGGCGAGAACCGTTTGCAACCATCGCCGTTTTGTGGTCAATGTTTGTTGCCTTCCCAAACTACTTTCGGAGGAAGCCTCACTCAAGAGCGCCGCACGAAAGTGTCCTAGAAGAGTGTCGGGGAAGAATACTTTACCAGGGTACCGTACAAGAGCAGGGAGTTGTGGTACATGTGCTACAAACTGTGCTGAGCCATGGGCGCGTGTTGATCACCAAACCAATCCTGCAGCCAACGCCCTTTTGTGAAGGCAACTGCAACACCGTCACACATTTGGGCCGCTTTCTCCCAACTGGGTCCCTCATTTCCTTTGTCCTTGTGGGGATATCTGAGGTGTTTGCGCTCGGGTTCGTGTGTTGCAGTTTGCTGCTTTCACCAGAAATGATGTCGATGATCGATGATCAATATAAGTACGCGGACCGACCTACTTTGACATGTTGTGGGTTCATATTCTTGCCATACTCAGTGGCCGTTGCAGAGGTGTTTAGCAAACCTGCGGCAGGAGCACAGAAAAGCAGCAAAAGAAGCGGAGGTCTCGCTGCATGTATGGTGTCCGAGTGTATCCAGTTTCCGGCGGCAATATTCCTGGTGTGCAGGGTTGTTATGTTGTTATCGGAGTGTCGTGATCATCTGGCTAAGTGTATAAGGGCCTTCAAAGGAAAGATCCAATAGAGCCCATGTAGAGTCCTAGATCGGAGGTGTATGAAGGCGTAGAGTTTGCCGTGTGGCATTGGTGCTGCCCTATTGGCAGCAACTGTCCGATGATGGTTCACACAGGGCCCAAGTTCTGAAAGCGCTGAAAGCGATGACCGCAGCGTGCTTAATAGCCTGAAGATGCATGAAGGTGCCATCGAATCAACATGAATCAACGATTACTTGTTATGGAGCCTTTGGCGCGACAAAGGAGCCCCCAAGAAGAAGTCTAAGCCTCAGCATTTGCGTACGCTGTCAAAACGAGTCGAGGCATTGCACCATGCTTCCAACAGAGTTCTAAAGTGTTCCAAACTGCAAACTGGCAAGGGGGGTGATGAAGCGAAAAGTGAAGAAGGCGCCTGGGCTGCCAACATCCTGCTTTGTGTGTTTGTGTGTTTTTTTGCGGCCTTCCGCAGGGACAAACCGGGAGCAGTAGATGATACATGCAAGGCAGCGAAGCACACAACATTGTTTGGTGTTGCGTGTGGGCTAGCCAGAGGTCGTGTTTTTGCTGCCAGCCGGCGCATTATTGTATATGTCAAGGGCAGGCCAGGACTCGACCAGAGTCCTGTGATTCAAAGCAGCAATCAGCACAATGATCGCAAGACTTGTCACCAGCTTGCGGGCCAATGGTTGTTTGTGTGCTATGCCGCTTGCATAGCCATGCCATAGGTCACAGGCGGCCACATACAACTGCCTGTTGTCACATGGCTTCCCTGTGCTTGCGCTTATGTTGCTTGCACACGTCTTAACCTCGGTGTCCTTGTTGCCGCGCCCATGGATGTGTCCTTGTGCTAGCGTTCGTCGTTTTCCTTGTGGGGCCATGCGCGGTACTACAGCAAATATAGCCACGATGTGGCTGCTCCACCACATGCAAATTTTGGAAGTTGGTTTCCATGTGACCTACCTGCCGCGTCACCGTTGCACAAATATAATCCTGGCATCTATTGTCGGCGAAAAGCGGGCACGCAATTGAAGCTCAGGGTTCCTACCGTTTGTTTTGCAGCTTTCAAACTCAGGAAAACTTGAACGCACTTGGCCTGCTGTTGGCCGAGGAGAGTGAGGTTGGCAAAAAAGGGATAAAGAAGCCTGCACACAAGTCAAAAAGAACTGCTGCAGGCCAAGCCAGTGCCAGTGTGCTGACTTGGCTGCTGCTGCAAGTGTTGGAGCAACTGAGGAAGTGAAAACCTCCACTCTGGCAAGCGGCGGCGCATCAAAGAGGATCGACCAGTGCTTGCCATATACATCTATATACTATGTTCAGGCTTAGGAACCGTTTAAGATGTTCTAAGATGCTCAGGACATTCTAAATTTGTGTTTGCTGCAACCTCTTGCACCAGATGCTACATGCTGCCTTGTGGGTGGAATTGCTTTGCATCCGCGACAGCAAGGACACTGATGACTCTAGGGCGAGACCGTGCAGAGGGAGCAGGAGCCAAGGCCCCAGCAATTGCGTTTGCTTTCAATGAGCAAAAGGACATGTTCACCGGCACAGAACCCAATAGCAACTGACCCAAAAGGAAGCGCATGTTTTTCCTCTTAGCCCAGCGAGCCCGTGAGACAATTGGGGGGACATGTAAGGAGACCAGTGGGGAGATACAGTAAGGCGACAGCAGCACAGCAGCGGCAAACCAACACGGCGATCACACAGGCAGACAGTGGGGAGACAAGGCAGCTGCGTCGCAGCAGCGGCACAGCAGCCGCAAACCAAAACAGAATACAGGCACCTAGTCATTGAGAAGTAAGAGCCCCCATAGCCTATAGCTATCGCTGTTTGGGGAAAGATATGAAAAATGCAGGGCCGCTTCAATAGGGCATTGATTGATTTCCTGTGTCAGGTTTTTACTTTTTTCCTGCACCTTCCCATATTATATATATATGTGTGTGTGTGCCTTTTCAATTGTCACATGTCAATAACAATGCTTTCCTGAAAGGCCTACCTTGAGTTTGTGCTGCGAAGCAAGGGTTGGGTCGTCGTGGCTTAGAGTTTTGATATTAACTCGTCAATGAACGGTTCCCCCTCTCCCTCCTCTTGATTTGTTTGTGTGCGTTGGCACAGTGATGTTGGTGATTTGAACAAGTCTCACGGGCAACCGCGCAACCCCCACTAGAAAAAGCCGCCGCCTGCTGAATTTATCCTGCGCCAAGTCTTCCCATCTCCTGCGCCGCACCCTCCAAATTCCTACCTTTCGTGTTTCCCCCTTTCTCAAGTAACATGTTGAGCACGAACGCTGCAGGCAGCCAGCGCGCCAGAAGAAACTCCAAGAGCGATCGCTCTCAGGCAGGAAGTTTGTCTCCGCTTACCATGGATTCGAGTGTTGCAGGCTCTTTCCACAATGTTTGGGCAACAAACCTTACAGTAATTCAAGTTTATTCCATGGTGCGTGTAGTGTAAACTTGCTTGAATCGGTGTTGCTCGCAAACGCCGCGCAGCATCAAGATCAGGGAAGGGAAATCCTCCCACTTCCCACAAGCGGTTTTGTTTTTTTGGAGGGTCACGAGTTGCGATTCTTTATGTTGAGGGGGGGTTGACCCGCCTGTTACGTTTCAGTTGTGCCATGGCATGGTCCGGTGGTCATTTGAATCACTTTGACGTACTCCGATGGCGACGCGCCGCTTGTTCTATGTTCTTCTTATCCATCCCCGTCCCGCCTCATGATCTTCTTCATGAGTGTTCCTTGCGCATGTTGCTCCAAATTGGATTGTTCTTAACTGAGGAAACAGTCAGGAATACTCAGTTCGATCACTTGGGTTCCCCAAGCGAATTCCAAGGCGGGGAGAAAGCTAGGCTGACGGGCTCAGGAACGCCGGCCTTTCCTACCAAGATTCTACAGAATGACAAAGACGGATTGAAGTCCAGACGCGCCCGCTTTGCACCCCTTTAGGCGTTGAGCCAGTCTCATTAATTTTCGCAAACAATTGAACAATTGAATATGTTCGCCGTCGCCTATCGAGCGCAGAGCTTAAGTGCGTTGTGTTACGAGCGCGCGAATGCTGCAGTCAATCAGGAGGACAGCCGGGATAAGGATAGCTGCGACGAAGACAGCCGGGACGGGGGCAGCCAGATGTCCAGTCGCAGAGGCCTAAAAAGAAACTCAAACTAGACTGCTTTCGCCGAACTGCTGGCATGTTTTGTTCTCACAGGTCGACCAAGACCTCGCTCCAGAGCGCGACGCTAACCGGAAAACGAAGATGAGAATTTGCACCATGCATGGAGCCGAGCCTTCAGTGCAGATCCACCTTGAATTATATATAAGATCGGTTCCCAAAGAACACCCAGTCAATATATTGCGTATTAATGCTTTTTAGCCTTTTGGATCCTTTTGGCCATATTGCTGAGCCACACCCTCACACACTTTTGCAGCCAGTCGAGTGGCCGCATGTGGCCGCTCCGAGCAAAATTAAAACGCGCGTCAATTGCTCGGTCTTTGGAAGAACGGGCCCCTCCTTGGTGACGGGAAGCCAAATAAAGCTGAACGCAGCCGGATTTGTGTCGCAAGGAAGCCCTATGGATTAAGGAGCGGTGGACGAGACTGGAGCCTGTGATGATAGATTTAAAGGCTTACGCCTGACAGCCGGGCGATCTTGGGGCTATGTTGGCCCATCTTGGGGCTACTTGTATGTTGGGCCTATGTTGGCCTATCTTGGGCCCACGTTGGCCCAGCTAGGGCCTATGTTGGACCATCTTGGGACCATCTTGAGCCTATCTTGGGCCCACGTTGAGCCCGCCTTGGGCCTATGTTGGCCCATCTTGGGGCTATGTTGGCCCATTTGAGGCTATGTGAACCCAGCTTGGACCTATCTTGGGGACCTCCGTTGGCTCATCTTCGGCTACATTTTGTGCCACTTATGTTGGCGCGCGCCCATCACCCAAAAAAAATGATTATGCACGTCCGCGCGGCGCGCGTTACCGACACCACCCTTGTAAAACCCACAGCTTATGCATTTCTCCATCTTCGACACGTTGCATCTTCCACGCGCACAAAGCCCTGTAAAACACAGTGTTTTTTGCAAAACACTGTAAGTTACGCGACCTGAGGTGAACACGGGGTGGGTCGGTCGGCGGCAGGGGGTGCGGCGCCTATAACCTTCGGTTATTATGACCGAAGGCCCTCCGGGCGACACACGGGCGCTTCGTGGCCGGCGCCCGGATTTGTTTGGACAGCAGCCCCTGCCGCGGGACCACCAAGTTAACGCGACAAAACATCTTGCACCTACCTTGAATTGCTGTGGCCGGCTCATACTGAACAAAGCAGGCCGCGCAACGATAGCGCACCTCCAAGACGTATGATGCGTTTTGAACTGAGTTACAGCGCATGTAGTTTGAGAATGCTCTCAACTACTTAGGGTCTAGAATGGGTGTACCTTAGGGTATGAGGAGGCTAAGGTCTGACATGGTGGAACCGATCAAAGTAGACCTTTTTCCTAGTTCATTCTAGACCCCTTATATTTACGGGACAAGGAAACTATAGACATTTTATACTCCGACATGTACACTATAGGTTTATCACTTTAGACCTCGCACCTGTTTTTTGATATTTTTAGTGAGCCTGATCCATCAAGAGCTTGATGAGTCAGTAAACATCTAGCATTTCAAAATAAACACATCTCCGGCAAAGGTCAGCGCATGGCATGTCAGACCCACAAAAGCATAGAAAATTCTAGAGTCGGACCTGGGTCAACAGCAATCCCTATGTTGGGACACCTGGAGA